GCTGCTTATGATACATTGCTCTGCAGTGATGCAGTGAGCATGTTCTCACCTCCCTGCCTGGTTTTGATCTGCAGAGTGTCAGACGGAGGCCCGTCTCCCACTGAGGTGAAGCCCAGCACCCTCAGGCTGTAGGTGATGTCTGTTGCCAGGCCTGAGATGGTGGTGAAATGGCTGTCATCTGTGTTGTGCTTCTGCCAGGCGCTGAGCGGGGCGTCGTGATCTGAGCTGTAGTAGACCCGATAGCCCCGGATTTGGCCGTTGGGCTCTTCGGGAGGTTCCCACTGGACCAGTATGGTGCTGGAGCTCAGCATGCGCGCCTGGACATGAAGAGGTGGCGATGAGGGTGCTTGCTCACTTGTACGGGTGTCCACGATGCTGCTGGGAGGACCCCGGCCGACGTTGTTCACAGCCATGACACGAAACTCGTACTCAGAGAAGGGGCTGAGGCCGCCGATGCTGTAGCGGGTCGTGGCGACACCGTCTACTTCCTGGAAACCGTTCTCAGACAATTTGGCACGATACTGAATAACATAGTAGGACACAGGCTCTGGGTTGCCGGAGTCCCAGGTCAGGGTGACACTGGTAGCTGTGGTTTCTGTCACGGTGAGGGAAGTGGGCATCTTGGGAAGAGCTGTCAGAAAGCAGAGACAGACCGAGTCAGAAAAACAAGTTTACATCCTCCATCTACATTATTCCTGCTCTCCGTCAGGACAGTCACCCGCTGGTGCCGGGTACACAGAGCTGCTCAACATTGCCAATCTAACACTTCATTATTATTCAGCTTGTTTCTGTCCTTTCCTGATCTGCACTGGGCCAGTATTATGTTGCCAGGCAGATGGGTGCATGTCCTCCTATGTAAATCCATCTATAGTCATCCAGACCTGAGCTGCAGATCATCAGAAGTGCGTCTACTGAATGCAGCCACACAGCAGAGCCTGAAATTTAACAGGATATAAGATCAGCTGCATTTTCTCATAGAAGGGAGGAAAGAAATCCGATCACTGCTTTGTAGATTAAACTTATGTTTGTGTGTAAAACCACAATGACTGTTACAACATGTGCATGTTTATTAGCTGCATTCATACATAGCGCTTGTGTCAGGTGAGCTGTGCCGACTGCAGTGGGTTATTTTCCACAGCTGCTGGTTGCAGAGTTCAGCTGTCTGAACCCATGTACACAGAACATCGTCTGTATTTGCCCTGAAACTTTAGCTGCTCCTCAGTTCTGCTTTTTCTCCTGCAGCTTTTTCTGTTTTAATCACCTCCCTGCAGAGGAGTCGATGCTAAAGTGTGGCTTCACTCAGGATTTGAACCTTGTGGTAATCTTGCTCTTTTCCTAAAACATTGGACTTTTTTCCACACTTTATAAAATATACTATATACCCAGTGTTGGGAAGGTTACTTTTAAAATGTATTCCATTACAGATTACAGATTACATGCCCCAAAATGTATTCTGTAACGTATTCCGTTACGTT